AGCTCTTGACCGGTTTCGACGGTCAAGAGGTGTTTGAAATCTCATACCTCGATTGAAGCATATGCTTCAAAAAAGGCCTGTATTTGGCCTGTATGACTTCCAAAAAAAAGTTTTGATTTTTCGATTGGTCAAGCCAATCTGGATTGACTGTAGTTCTTACAAGAACTTTAGAAAATCAAATCAAATCAATCTAGCTAACTTAACCAAAGTACCACCTATAGTAAAGCTTCTTAAAACCTCAATGAAAGAAACAAACAATCCAACCAATATATAAAAAACTTTTTCTACAATGTAAGAAATACTTCAAGATGAGCATATTCTATAAATTATTTTCAAATCATTCATCTACAAACCTCTTCTGTGTGTTAATGAGAAAACACTGGTCTTGTTATTTCAAACACCACCTGTTGTTTGGTTTGCAAAACCCCCGAAAAAGCATATTTGATTTTGTTTCATTAAATAAAACTGTAGTAATCAAAGAAACAAAAAAAACGATTTTGATACGAACCAAAGAAGAACAACTATTATACATAAACTTTTCTCTCATAGAATCTCATAAAATCTTCAAAACACAGACGATCCAAAAGAACAAAGCTTTTAATCAACTTTTTTTTCAATTAATAAGATAAATCCAACAAACTTGATGAAGAAGGAGAAAGTTTATTTTCTGATAAAATGACCTGTTGCACCCTGAAATAAAGAATACCACATGAAAGGTTGAGAAAGTAATAATTCAGTATCTTTTTCTTTCCAATCACCTGTAGTTGAACATGTGAAATCTCAAATCAGTGGATTTCATCCCAACTCAGCGGTTGTGGTCGAAGATAACAGACAAACCCTCATTTTTTGTTTGTGATTCAGAATATCACCTCGCCATCCAAGGTGAAGCAGGACCTGTGGCGACACAACTCGGTGTGAATGGCTGCCGCGTGTAGTAAACCTCGCTTACGTTTTTTGGACCTCGGTCAAACATCAAACAATGCTGTGAGTGTGTGTTAACTTCAAGACATCGCATGTAACTTGACTATGCTTTCCGTAGAGTTAGCTATCGTCTTGAAAGTGTTTGCCTTGGGTTTTTTGGGACACAAGGAGGGCCACAGGGTAGCCATACTGTACGCCTTGAGTACCCCTGGTAAAACCTCCACCACTCGCCACTTTTAAAAGCCCTCGGTCGTTTTCGGTTTTAGTTTGACCTCCTAGGATATAATACAACAGATTTGAGCCGGATGTCGAACTGATGGACCACGAGGGCCCACTACTGTAAGAAATAGATTTCAGTCGATGATTCGATTATAAGTAAAAAGTAAAAGTAGTGTGAGTGAAGAGTCAAAGATACGATGAAGAGTAAATGGTGTGAGAGTGAAGTGGGAAATACGACAAACTCAATGAAAGCCAATGAATGACTACTTTATTTGAACTCGCGACCTTCCTTTGTAAAAACGTCCTTGGGTAACTTCATATCACGTTGTAGGATCCCTTGATTATCCGATCTATCACACGTCAATGTTAGTTGATATACGTTGATATTTAAGTACGGTTGGCGGAGCTACACCAGGGGGTAAGTGAGACGTTCCAAATCCAGGATCGAAAGCGTTCAGGCACGTTAAGACATTTCAATTCTTTTCGAACGTGCCCGGTAGGTGTCCAGGTTTTATGATCCTGTTCTCGTTTCCTGAACGAAAAAGTCACAGGACACGAAACGGTCTCGAACCTGTTCCAATGACTGTTCTAGCAACGCTATGGACTGTGCCCCGGACAGTTCATAGCGTGATTTCTGGAGAACGTAACTGTAGCGTGCCAGACCGTGCCCTCGCGTTGCTGGTACGTATCCATCCATTCCAGCAACTGCAGAACAAATGGTATCGATTTACCGCTTTCGCACATTGGGCGAAAGCGATGAGTTTGCGAGTTTAGTAACGGGTCGTTCAGATTGTTAAACAAGTAATCGAATCCAATTATACGTAGTGTGTATACTAGAGTGCGAGATCAATGACAATAGGGGCCTTCAAGTTAACTTCGTTAACTTTGGAATCGACTTTGGGTTCTTTGATATGGACAAGGAGCTGGGGTACAAACCATTATAGAGGTAAGCAAGTTTCGGGGACAGCTTTTGCACAATACCGCAAGCTTTTTTTTCACAAAGAGGGCTGTTGCCTTGATCACAAGGCATTTATAAAAGCCTTGCCAATTGATCTGATGATATGGCCAAGTTGAGAATGCCTAATGTGTCAGTCAAATGCTGGAAAGAAAGTATCCAGCCAATCGAGTCAAAAGACCCTGTGCTATTGATTGTAAATGCACTGGATCAATGCTTTTCTGAATCAGTTCCTTAAAATTTTGCTATATAATTCTCCCTTCTTCATCCGATTCGAATCAACTTCCTTTTTACTTCATACATCCTCTTCAACCAATATTTTTCATCATCATAATCTGATTTTGATCACACCCAATCTCGCTTCAATCCACACTTCATCCACATCAATTTCTTCCAATTTTAGACCATCTTAGAAACAATCATCATCTTCTATCCCCAACATTCACATTTCAATTCACACTTCAGATCTCATAATCTTGCTTCTTACGACTGGAATCCTCATTTTTCAAGGTGCAGCTTTTTTTTCTTTGGTTTTTTTTCCTTTAGTACTTCTGTACACCCAGGAAACTGTTTCGTAGCTGCTCGAATCCCCTTAGTTGAATCTTTTCCTTTAGTACTTCTGTACACCTAGGAAATTGTTCATATAATCTTTTCCTTTAGTACTTCCGTACGCCTAGGAAATCATTCATAGAATCTTTTCCTATAGTACTTCCGTACACCTAGGAAATCATTCATGGAATCTTTTCCTTTAGTACTTCCGTACGCCTAGGAAATCATTCATAGAATCTTTTCCTTTAGTACTTCCGTACGCCTAGGAAATCATTCATAGAATCTTTTCCTTTAGTACTTCCGTACGCCTAGGAAATCATTCATAGAATCTTTTCCTTTAGTACTTCCGTACGCCTAGGAAATCATTCATAGTGGAGAATCCGCTATCCTTGCTACTCCAAAATTGATCATATTCAAACTTTCATTTGTTTCAATCTTTACTTTCTTGATCCATTATACTGATATGAGATATCTTCTTATTGACAGATGGCAAAGAATCCTTCTCAGCTCGCATCCTTGGCTCGAAAGCAGAATGATAAGCGCCTTAACAAGAAAGTGCTACGTTCCAACCTTTGCAGAGCCATTATCCAAGAGCAACATGGCACCCCAAGCACGGCCAAAGTCCTTCGTATACATCGTAACCCCCCTGATCTCCAAGAACCTCTAATCAATCGTACCAATCTTCAAGAACGTATCATTGATCATGGTCATGTTATTCTTGTTGATGCACTCACTGGTGAATTTATTGCATCTATTTATACAATTCACAATGACGACAACACCAACAAGCACCTTAGAGATAAATTTGATTGGGCCGTACAAATCTTGTATCATCATGGCCTTGCACGCAAAAAGTGTGATATCAACAAAGCGCAGCAAGCTTTGGGTGATGCTAAGAGTGGTGAGATGTACCCTACCGGCTCTCGTGGTGGTACTGATAAAGGAAAATCTGGTGGTAAGCTGATTTATCTTGAACCCCTTTTATATTTCACTAAATTACCTCTCTTCCAGGCCCATATGTACTGAATGAGCGGACTCGGAGTAATCCTCAGCTCATTAAGCAAGATGTTGACCGCATGAAACTTATGCCTTCTATTGACAAATTCATCTCAAACCTCTTTTCATATCTTGTTCTTTCACAATTCAAAGCAAACCTCAAGATTGCAGAAGAGTACGGTATCTCCTGGGCGTCTCCCACCTTTTTCAATACACTTGACCAATCCAGCTGTGGCTCCAACCTGGTAATCACTCAAGATGAATTTGCCAATGAATCACATCAAGACCCTGATGCTTCTGGATGCGCTATTGGACTTTTCTGCCTCATGGAACATGACTCAGGTAGAGTGATTCACCCTGAGGCAACCAGTCCATCTGCACCATACCGCATCAACGGAGCCTACTTTCATCTCGACAACTACAACACCAAGATACGTTTGAGCCACCATCCAAAGGTGGTTGTATGGAATACAAAGATGCATCACCATAGCTCACATTCTCAAACTGTTAATTCTTCCGGCAAACGAGTGACACCCAAACAGGCTAATTTGACCAATTTCGGCTCATCCATTCAAGTCTCCAAAACCATTGTTGATCGAATTCGGGGTATGCGTAAGAAGAAATCTGGTATGAGTGATGAAAGTTGGAATGCTTTCAAAAGTAAGCGTGTAAACAACTATGCAGATGAGATCAATAAAAGGTTGAGTGATCTCAAGCAGGAGAAGAAGCTTGATCCTCTTATGGAAGCGCAGATACAGACCACTCTTGCTAGTCTTGTGCACTTATAATGATACACATTCTCTTGTTTTTCCTTTCATTTTATTTGTAACCCATGTATTCCACTTCATTTCGATCTCATTACATTTCATTCTAATAATCATTCATGTCGTCCTACCTGCAAAGGACTTGAACCGCCCTCTCTTACCTCCTCAGCTCTGCTGGGTGTTGTGTTTGAACATTGTAGTAATGCCTTATGTCATAAGACCACGGCAGGTTAAAAGCACAAAGACCTTCTTTCATGGAAGTGAAGAAATCCTTTCGGTGTCAATTTCAATATTTCAACGTGACCTTTTAAGTGATGTCCCCCTCAAGAATATCATTCAGCTTCAGTCAATGGTAATAAGACGACATCACATTGAATCAGTTGTTTCAATATCTGACCTCATCCACCCATCTTTGGCAATCTGACCATTCAGTTTTCTAAAGACTAGTGACTTCTGGTACATGGGCAACCGGATTTGTCTCTACCACACGGTCAGGATGGAGTCGGATGGATGCAATTGAAATCAATTTGGTACGCACTGATCAAACAATTTTTTGAACATCTGACCACTGATTTGTAATAGCTATCATGAAGTCTCATTCTTGTCCACGTCGTAGAATGAATTGTATGAAAGACAGAAGTCCGTCGAACACTGTTGTCTTTGGATCTCTATAGACCTATAGACCCCTAACTTAACAAAGTCCCTCGATGCCTCGACAGCTGTCATTCAAACTAGTTGAATCCGCATGTCTCAGCATGAGGGACTTACCCCTAATGTCTGATTTTTGGCCTGAAGGCTTAGGCCCTTCTTGGTGGAGGGCATCTTGTTTTCCTCTTTTCTGTGAGCACACCAAAGATTTTCTGCCAACCGTTCACACAGATGTGCGCTGAGTCTTGCTCCATATCGTACCGGTGGACTCATCAAATTCCCCTCGTTCTTCGCTGAGCTACATACATTTGAATTTTCGTAATTTCCACATGTAGCTTGACTATGTCCGGGGGACTGCTCACGTATAGAACCAAGAGAAGTCCTCGACCTTAGTCGAGCTACATGTCAAAATTACACAAATGCAATTTGATGTAGCTCAGCGAGGAACCAACGTTCAGGGATGCTTTCAGTTGTAAGATGTGTAGGCAGAGCGAGCGCATACGTGGCTGAGCGGTTGGCAGAAAATCCTCGGTGTGCTCGCCAAAAGGAGGAAAAGAAGATTGTCCCCACCAAAAAGAGCCTAAGCCTTCAGGCCAAAAACATGACCTTGGGGGTAAGTCCCTCATGCCGAGACATGCGGATTCAACTCGTTGAATGACAGCTGTCGAGGCATCGAGGGACTTTGTTAAGTTAGTATAGACCCAATTTTCCATGACAGTCTGAGGCATTTGGAAGCACGTGGACGCCTGTCTGGACTAGGCTTGAATGATCAACACCCTTCCAGCCTATTTTGAACATCAAAAGGAAAGTTCCCAATTCAGCGAGCCTGATTGGAAGCACTGCAGACATTATTCGGGTTCCCCAAGTGGGCAGGGAAAAATGATTGGGAGTATGATTTGTCATAAAATGGTCTATCACTCCACACCTGAGCCATAACACCCACACTACATATGTGTAGCAGGCTCAGTGAATATGTGGTTATCATGTACATACAGTTCTGCTCAGTTATCTGCTCATCAGGACAAGTTATTCATATGTAATACATGCTGTAACTTCTTTCAGATTGAAAAAAGCTTCCAAAAGATTGACTACATACACTGACTCAATGTTTTGGTGTGATCTCATCAACTCAACTGCATGTAACACACTTTCTGTTACTAAGACATAGCTTCAACAATATTGCCTGAGCAGCTACAGAATTATATGTAGTGAATTTTTGGGAAAAAAATTTCAAAGTCGAAAAAGTTACATGTGGTATAACATGTGATTTATTTATTCTGATGGGCAAAAAACTGAGCAGACCTGTATGTACATGATAGACAACTATTGACTTAGCTTGCTGCACATATGTAGTGTGGGTGAAATGGCCCAGGTGTGCAGTATTAGATTCTTTTATGAAAAACTGTACTATTAATCATTTTCCTCTGCCAAATTGGGGAAGTTGAATGATGTTTACAGTGGAAGGGCCAGAATTGTGTTCCCAATTCAGCGAACCTGATTGGAAGGGCCACGATTGAGCAACCATTGTGATTACACCAGTTTCTCATTTCCTAGGCCCGTCAGACATTGGAAAAAAAAGCCAGTGTCAGATGCCTTTAGTCAACTCAAAAGGAAATCTTCTAAATGTGACTCAGTATAATAAATGTTCCCCTGGAGCACCTCCTTGTTTCAATACAACCATGGCACCCAGTCGTATCATCCGAGGTCTTAACAATCCAGGCAAGAAAATCAAGCCGGTCACGGAACTACAACGGCAGTTAGTCAAAAGACAACGCAAAAATCTGGCGCATACAGAGGTTTCTGATGCCAAACGCCTGAAAGAACTGACTGAAAGATCCAACGCCACAGCAGGCGACGCTGTACCCATCCACCCGCTTGATCCTCTCATTGACCACGACCTATATGATTTAGCTCCTGAGGAAGCGGACGAGCTTCCAGATGAAGAGCCGGACGAAATTGACATGGATCACTTCATGCGACATCATGGTCGAGCCGTTTTGGACCCCGCCTTGGCACGGGAACGTCATTTGGCGGACCGTCTGGCCCACGAGAATCGTTGGACATGGCAGTACGCAATGATGCTACCAACGTTTCTTCGCTGTCGGTCAGAAACTTCGAACTGGGGAAAAGAGGCCAAATGGAACAAAGATCTTCGGCCGCAATGTGACTGCCCAGCGCGTACCGAGAGAGAAGTCGATCTAATTGATTTACACAGTGAGTTCAGGTGAAGACCAAGCCAAAATGTCCACACACAATATCATTAACTGAATCAAATTGCATGCAGCTCGCCGTCGGGTCAACGTCTCCTTTTGCAAGAGATGTGATTTCTCGGATCCGACTCGCCTACTGCAAATGGGATACATGGCCGCGTCACCAAAGATCCCCCGCACGGCATTTTCTTTGCGGCTCCTTGTTCACTATCACACCATCTGGTTACGCTGCGCGACGCCAATTGCAGGCTTTTGTGAAGCTCTCGACGACGTCCTAGACGACGATAACCCTGTTATCACCACTCCTAGCGGCCAAGTAGGTACACACAAAAATCTAGTTAGCCACCTGCGCTAACGCACTTATTGTGGACAGCCTCGAGACTGGCGACTTCCATTCACCGCCGCTGTTGGCGCTTACCGTGCCATCAATATCCAGATAAATAAGATTGAGAACGAACGTCTTCGACTAAGCCAACTTGGCATCCTGGCAGCCAACTGTCCCAAGTGCTTCGGACCACCGATTGGTATATCGTCACCTGAAGACCCACGAGTCATCATATGCCTTGATGGCAATTTCCAGCACAAAAGGCATGCATTGGCCAGTGTGCCTATTCCAGGATTCAACCCTCCACGCCCTGACCTATTCTTAGACCCAAAGCTAGTAGACGCCAAGCGACGATTTATGGGGCATACCCAAGAAGAGGGAGGGGAAATGGTTGTTTATCTCATTTGTAATATTCATTAAACTTACAGCAGTTACTTACTGACGCGGATGAGTGTTTCAGGATCCATGCACTGAAGCGCATACAACTGCGAACGATGTGCGAGGTAAACATCACTTTAAAAATATGGACGAGTCCGGTTTGCTCGGCATGGCATGTCGGCACGACCATGTTATCAAATTTATTAACCTTGTACAGACAGGAGAAAAGTAAGAACCATCATTATCATGTTCTTGATATTGTATCAACTCTGGTACTGATTAATCAAAATATACAAAAATCCTTGTAGAAATCATTACGCATTTGCCTTGATCCAGTGGCTGCTGGATCTATTTAAGGATGAGCGTGACGAGGAGACCAATATTAATATTCTCTACGATATTGGCTGTAATCTGGACAAGACAATAAAAAAGGTTGGGTTGATATTCTCGAACCTTTTATGCTTACAGTAATCTGACCTCTACATTGCTCTACTGTTATGCAGAAAAAGGTGTTTACCGACGAGAAACAAGCAGGACAGGTGCGAATGGGTACTGCGCTGTTCCACGCTTACGCTCATAACTGGGGTTGTCAGCTTGAGTACAACCCCAGGCTGAACCGAGGTTGGGGCAAATCCAACGGGGAAGGACTCGAACGGGTGTGGTGGAAATTGGCCCCACTGGTATCCCTTCTCCGTTATGCCACGAAGCATCGTCGGCTGGTGAGCTTGCACATGTGGACAAAACATCGTAACGATGTTTTAAAGAACCAAGCTGGTGAGTTATGTTCAAAGGTCAACTGTTTAGCAGCATTGATAGCTGAATCTTGTACGTTTCTCCCCGCCAGTGTCTTTCCTGGTAGCACACACGAAGAAGTACCAGGCTGAGCTACACAAAGCCAAGTCTGCACTGGCTAAACATCAACAGGCGAACCAAATGCATACTTATGATTATTTTGAGGCACAGTGGGCGCGGCAGCGCGAGTTGCAGCTTCAAGCTATCAACGTGAGAACCAAAGAGAAACGTGCGAGATTAGAGGTGTTGGTGCGACTCGAGGAGCAGCTGCTTGAAGCACGGTAAGCTTCGAACAATCCTTACCGGAGTCCTTTGAGGATGAATTTAATACCTCCTAACTCAAAGTATTTATATGTAGCAACGAGCTCGATGAGATGAACGCCACCAATGCTCCAATAAGAACATTCGAGCAACGCAATGACTTACTCCGCTTGCCAATGTCATTGGCCAGTCTTGAGAAAAAGGTCCACGAATTGGCTGAAGAATTTGGGAACACGGAATTATGGAATGCTCGAAAAAAAACCGGTGAGTATGTTGTTCTTCTTCTTTCTGATGAGATACTACAGTGATTTAATGATGCGTTTATTTTGGTGCTAATTGAAGACAATCGGCTCAAAGCAGCGCTTACCGTGCAAGTCGCGCTGGGATTCCTCTATGAGGCAAAATACGATGCCATTCAACAGGTTGCTGATGCAGCAACCAAAACCGGTATGAAAATGATGCTTTATAATGATAATGTAACAGAGTTCCCACCCGCCAATACCATTTTCTATCATAGGAGCCACACAGCAGCCTCGCAATGAGGAGTTGCGCAAGAAGAAAAGGGCTCTCTTGCAAAAAAAAACGAAACTTATGGGCGTCACGCAGCCAACTACAATGCTCGCTTCCGGCCTGCTGTTCGGCTACGTGTGCCGACGTTCGATGAGATCATGAATATGGATCTATTAGATGACTTCTGGGACGAGGCAGCGCTGAACCATCCTGACGAGCCTTGGGCGACTTGCCAGGCCACCAAGGATGGGATCATTGCCGTTAGAAATCTTAGGTCATCAGAAGAAGAACTTGCCCGTTTGGGGCGCGAATCCCGGCAGCTGATGCTTTGGGGATTAGACTACCAAGCCCGTGTGGACGCATCCAAGCCCAACGACGGTGAAAATTTGATACCTCGATATGTTTTCAGCAGCCTTGAGCTTTAGCTGACATTGCCGTTTGCTTGCTTACCAGGCGATGTTCGTGTGCTGGAATGGCAGTCTATCCATAGAGGCCTTGTGAAACATACGAGCCGTCTGTGGAGAAAATGGGGAGCAGGTGGTGGAGGCTTGCAGGAGGTACTCCACAGCACAGCAAAATTTGTTATAGGTAGTGCTGAGCTCGATGAGGGCCTCTTTGGAGAATGGCAAGCAATGGTATCTCGCTCATCTGCAATATGGGGTGAGAGAATGGGGGTTCATGTATTTTGGGGGGAAGAAGTAGTTGATGAATTTGAAATGCTAGTGCATAACAACATCGAGGATGATGAGTTGTTTTGATCTGTTTAAATGTAACAGGTACAAGTAGATCGTTTCATTACTATTGTATCCAATCACAGTAACATTCTGATGGACAAGTAGTATATGTCTAAAATCTTGATATTTAAATACAAATCTTTGTGTCTCAACATTCAAAAAGAAGGAAAACATATTGTATCTTAAAAAATAATTCATTAAATGTAAAAAAAGAAACATGTCTAATTGAAATCGGAAGATGTAATTAGCAATTATCAAGTAGCTAATTACCTTGAGTAAAGGGAAGAGTGACTATAATATGAGAAATTGTTTGATAGACAAGGAAATCTTGATGGTGAGTTGTTGGAGTGGGGTTTCAACAGTGAAATTGTCAATCGGCAATTTCAATGGGGGGTTGCACTTTACCCTTCTTTCTACGACCTTTTATATTATTCTGAGTATTCAAATATGTGGTGTGGACATCAAGCAACGGTTGCCAAATAGGTAACCAGCTTGAGGCGTCGGTGTTTCGAAATCGGCGCCATGTTGAGCATAGACGAGGTATTACAAGGTTGGGAAGTGTGAAATCTAGTTTTAAATGGCAGAAATGATTGTCGGCGAAAGAAAGTACTATAGGTGGGTTATTATTGTATGGTGTAAGATAGGGAAACGTAATCTGGCTGGAAGTCGACAGCTTAGGCTCGTAATAGATGACCGGTCGATCGAACGTGGTGGCTATGATACCACCCCAACTTGGCATGGTGAGCCAGTGCTCCTGGTGCGCGACAACGTTGGCTGAGCGTGTCCGGAGTCGCCGTAAGGCATCACTTCGAATCTCAGGTAGTGTACCCTGCGTGAACACATGCGGGATATGTTTCAATGGTCTCCGCCAAACGCTGGCGAACGTAAGCCCAATCGTCCTGCGGGTCGGCCAAGAGATATGGGCAATTGCCCGAAACCCACAGTGCCAATCTGGATTCTACTTTCACAGATCTCGGTGACAAAGGGTCGAAGCAAGCTGTGGATTGAATACTTATTCAACAAATCCAAGTGCGCAAGGGCCTGATCACGGGCTCGTTTGCGAGTCAGTATGGTGGTGGGAGCCGTGGTCATTGAATCTGGTAAGTTGCAAGGCGGGTTGACTGTGTGGTCATCGTCAACAATTGGAGGCTGTGGTGTGTCTGTAGCCGCTTCAAGTGGCGCCTCGACTATAGCGCCAGGAGATCCAGCAACAGGCGTGTCGCAGTGTGTTGCGTCCTTGGGTGCGCAGATGAGGTCGTCGAGGTTGAATGACGAGTTTGTGAGATCGTTGGGATAAAGGTCCTCGAAATTGTTCTGCATCATCTGGCTGGGGTCAGCGTGCATCCTTTTACATTGGTTGATTTGGGCTGTACTTACCAATTTATCCAGGAATAACTGTTGCTGGTCCAGTGGTGGAGGTGAGCTTGAACTCTTGCTGTTCAGGATCAAATTTCGCATATCGTCCTGACAACAATGAAAAGGGAAGAGGTATTCATAAGTATTTTTTCATATTTTCATTCTTTGGTATGTTGCTTACTAGCTCGGGTAGATTGCAGTCTGGAGTGAATGAATCGGGTGATGTGATATTGATCATCATGTTGACGATGTTGGGTATCTGTTTGGATGCCTCTGCGTTAGGAGGGCCTTCATGGCTGTCTTCTTGATGGCTCGAGCTGGATTGAGACAATGTGTCGTTGGTGATGATCTGCTCAATCATTAGGATGGCTTCCTGACAACGGCGTGGGGTCAAGGAGTGGAGTCGTGCTGCAAGTCTAGTGAGGGCCGAGTCAATGACGCCTGTTTTGCTGCTAGTCATCCGCGAGTCTTGCAAAGGTTCGGTCAAATGTTGATGTTCAGTGAGGGGTGACTTTGACTTTGTACAGTCAGTATCATCATCTTTGTCTTTAGTCTGTTTAAGGGAGAGGTTGTGAGGGTACGGGAGTATGGGATCTTTTGCGAGAGTCTTCTTTCGAGGCTTGACATTGAGATCGGCAGGGTGGTTATGACCAAGGTGGGTATGAATAAGCAGCCAGCACTCTTTTTCAGGAAGAAACCGGGCGCTGATCTTGAAAGGGCAGCCTATGCGAAGAGATCTGGTGCCGGAAGTCTTGATTCCACCGGAGGGATGCCCAGATCGGTAGCATTCATAGTGACAGAGGTGGCTGCCATCGTTGGAGTGACCGACTCGCATACGATAGCCGTGCTGAGTTGCTGGAAACACATTGACGTACTTGTCCATTTCGCGTCGATCAAGATCTTGAATCTCAAGGATGTCTGGTACCGAGAAGAAGTATTCTTCTTTTGTTGGGCTGGCTTCCATTGTTGGGTGGACAATGTTGCTCGGAATAGATGTGGTGGTGAGAGTTGAGAATTGAACAAGTGACTTTCTTGAATGGAGGGGAAGGACCTTTGTGAGGGAGGATGATTCTAGGGTTTGAGTAGTGAAATTTCGGTAAAGTGCGACTAATTGGTATGCTGGTGATTTGGTTCGCACTGGTGGTGAGATGACTGAGTTGGGTGGTGAGTTTGGGGCTTGGGTAGTAATATTTGAGGTAATGGGTATGCGGGTAATTTTGATGGATTGTGGTGGTGAGATGTTTTGTTGAGTGGTGAAACTTGCAAATGTAGTGGTGAGATAGGTCAAAAAACCCAATAATATATTGGGTGGTGAGATTTATGGGTTGGGTGGTGAGATCCTTTACTGAGGTGGTAAAATTATCTGGTCAGGTGGTTACATTGAGCTTGGTCATGACGGGACCCAAGGTCCCTGCCTTGCAAATATGGGGACTTGAAGTATTTTCTAGGTCACCATAGGACCAGCTATGTTGCTACGAAATTCTACATGCTTACAAACGGATTCTGATGGATGATGCGGGAGTCCGCTTCCTTGGGTATACTCGGAACGTGTTAGTCCACACAGGTGAAACCTGTGGGGAAAAAGATTTTTTCCATTGTTTCCAGGATGTACTTTTGGGTATATTTCCGGATGGGTTCCTCAATTGGTGCTTGCCCATGCATCTTGTTAACTAGGACCAGGAAATAAGAGAGTTTCACAGGACCATATCGCCCTTTATCGTGCGGGAAAATCATGAGACCTTTTACACCAGACACTAGAAAAGCAACAAGAGGTCCAAGAACATGAGACGGGATGGAGCCTGTACCCAGTGTTTTGGTCATTGCCTCGTATTCTGAGAGGAGCTGGTTGTGTCTATCAGCTGGTGTTTGACTGAGATGCAAAGCATGGTGAAATTTTGCTCGTAGACTGGCAACGGCCTCAAAGACTGTGTAAAGACGATTGACCATCCCAGCCATCACTCCCATACACTCTGCAACAGTTTGAGTTTGCTGCTTAGTCTCGTGAAGGCTTTTGAAGTGATGAGCAGCTTGAAGACACTGCCCAATGTTTTGGTTTGGAAATTGAACTTCAGGAAGAGTGTAGTCCACCGGAAGCTCGTTGGTGTCCATTCGGGCAAATGTCACAGCTGCAACTATCATCCGCACCGCCTGGTTTATCCGCTGTGCACCTGGACTGTAGAACAAACCCAGAATCTTGTGCATGTAGGAGGTTTGAGCTGTGGCATCCATGGTAGTTGCCAGCTCGTAGTCGGGTAAGGTGAAGTTGAAAATGTTGGGGCGATGCCACGGCGCTTCGCCAGCACTACGCACAAGGAGTGAGTCTGGAATAAATAAATGAAATCAGCATCAGTTGTCAATGGTAACAAATGAAAAAATTACTCACTGGGGTTTTTGGCAAGCCACTTGGTAACTGACAACTTGTTTTTCACCCCAAAAGCCTCTGCTTCCTGGACAGGGGGCTTGGCCGGCAAATTGATGCCTTGTTTGCGCCAAAAGAGCAAGTTTATCGCAGCCCGGTAAACTTGGGGTACATCTTGTGTCACAAGTTTGTTCGCCTCAATCAAAGCTGAAGTGAGACCAAAAAGAGGAGACTGAGCCATCATCCATAGGCCGGTCGGGGCAGGTTCCTGGACTGATTGAGGAACCTGCTCATCTTGAGAATGACCGGTTGAAGAGTCGAGTTTAGTTTTCTTTGGATCAGGAGTGACTTGCGAGTTGGCTTCAATAGGCCTTTTAAGAGGCATCAGAGTGGAGGTAGACTGAGAACTGGACTGTTGGGATGATGTTGATTGTTTGAGGAGCCAAGGGTTGACACCTGGAGGAGCAACTTGAGGAGGCTTGACTTTCCGTTTTAGGAGGGCAACAACACCTCTTAACTTTGCTTCGACAGACTGATCACAGTGAGCATCCCACCCCCGGAAAGCTCGAACAGGTGCAAGCCAATGTCAAAACAGGCCGTCGATACCGTATTGTCCTCGGTGAAGGGTTCAAGGGAGGACATCAGGACCAATTTGTGCATTCAAGATGACATCAACTTGATCCCAGAGTTCGTGGTCCTCGTAGGGCTCCTTCGGCCTGAAAGAATGCCTGAATCGCTTGTGGAATTTGCTGTCCCGTTCGGCAACAGGGAGCATGGTCTTCTTGGCTAATGTCTCGATATCAGAGAGTACCGCTTCCAAAGAGTCAGGAATCGGTTTGGGATACGTTGTTGAAGGACTAGGTTGCCAAAGAGTAGGACTGGGCTGAGAATTGGTAGAGGCTGGATTGAATAGAGGCACACGAGTTGGGCTTGAGCAAGCAGGAGAATTGGAAGGTCCCGGAGCAACAGAAAGGATCTGTGTTGGTAGAGGTAGGTTGGAGGCGGGAGGGTTACCTGCACGCTCTATATTCAGCTATTAATCAATCAAAGGATTGAGAGATTTGAGATTTGAGCGTACCAGGAGTCTTTTGAGAAGGGGTTGGAGGGAAATTTTCTTTGTCTTGATCCTTGTCAGGGGCTTTTTTCTCTATAATTACAGCAAATAAAGAAAGAAATTGTATGCTGGTCAGTAGATTGATCAATCACACATCAGGATATAGAAAACATACCGGGAGTCTTTTGAGAAGTGGTTTGAGGTGGATGGTCTTCGGCTTGTTCCTTGTCAGTACCTTGTTCCACTATATGTGCAGCAGGTGTTGAAGAGTTCACGAATCAAATAGAAAAATTGTACGTTGATAAGTATATTGATCAACCACATATGAGGATCAAAAGAAATCAAAGACATACCAGGTGGCTGTTGGGGAGTGGTTTGGGGTAGAGTTCCCAAATTGCCTTCGAGTGGATCCTCATCAGGATCAACAACCGTGTCTTCATTAGAACCAGGATGAGGAGCACCGGCATTTGAAGTGGAAGTATTGCGTTGGTCTTTGGCTTGATCCTTGTCAGTACCTTGTTCCTCTATATATGCAGCAGGTGTTACGGAATTCATGAATTGAATAGAAAAATTGCATGTTGATCAGTAGATTGATCAATCACAGACGAGGAGATATCAAAGACATACCAGGAGGCTCTGGAGGAGAGGTTTGGGGTAGAGTTCCCGCATTTCCTTCGAGTGGATCCTCATCAGGATCAACAACCGTATCTTCATTAGAACCAGGATGAGGAGCACCGGCATTTGAAGTGGAAGTATTGGGTTGGTCTTGAATTAAATAAAAAAATTGTATGTTGATCAGTAGATTGATCAATCACAGATGAGGAGAAATCAGACATACCAGGAGGCTTTTGAGGAGTGGTTTGGGGTAGAGTTCCTGGATTTACGGTGGTTTCATTAGAACCAGGATGCGGAGCATGGGCATTTGCAGTGGAATTATTGCGTGACGTATTGCCGGGGTGAGTGGTACTGGGTAGAACAGCCTTTTTCAGGATTACGAGAGCACCTCGTAACTTGGCTTCAAACGGCTTATCACAGGCCTCATCCCATCCACGGAGAGCTCGTGCTCGCACTAGCCAATGTCAAATCAATCCATCAATACCATAGCGGCCTAGACAAAGGGTTTGGGGGAGAACATCACTGCCAATTCGTGCGCTCAAGTAGGGGTCAACCTGATCCCAGAGTTCGTCGTCTTCATAAGGCTCAGTGGGAAAAAAGGATCCACGGAAGTAGTCATGGAACTCGCCGTCAGGTTGGCCGGCAGGTATACTCAAAGGTTCAAGAGCAATAGTCTTGATTTCAGAGAGTACCTCTTCCAAATAGGCAGGCATAGGGTTGAGCATAGGCGGTGGGTCTTCCATACGTTCTGGCGGTGGGTCTTCCATACGTCCTTGGGCAGAGGGAGTTGGGGATGGGGAACGCTGAAGCTCTTGTTGGACCGTCCCAAAGGGCACCACTGACAATTTCAATAGTTTCAGGAGCGCCTCAAAGCAATCCATCATCCCCATGGTGTCTGAAGCTGTCCAGCGAGGATCTCTTCTGACACCAGCGAACCAAGAGAATATGAGTTGATAGGCGTTGAATCCACTACGCAGGAACTCTCGACGGAATCTGTCCGATGGCATCGCGGTATCCCAAGCTTCAGTGACATAGTCAACTAGAGGGGAGTCGAGTGGTTGGTCTTGAGGTGGATGCTCGAATGGAGTGCTAAAGAATTTATAAAAGGTATCGGAATCGTCCTCTACCATGACAGGTATAGAAGATGGTGATCTGCTGTATTCCACAATGTCGTTAGATACCTTCGCAAATAAGGCATTGACGTTGGCGGCCGAGGTTGCTGGATTCGGAGTGTATACTAGGGGAGGAGAAAGAGATTTCGTAGCTCGACGAGGGGAACATCGTCTAAAAGGGGGTCGGTAGTCGGCAGATCCAGAAGCAACCATTGAGAGTTCACCCCTCTTCTTGGCCTCGCGCGGCAACTTGGGTCTGGGCTCAGGGGTGTTTGATCCAGACACTTTACGAGACTTCGAAGTCAATGTCTCGATTCCAGGGGGACGACGTAACTCCTTCGACAAGCCGGCGGTAGCCTCAGGAGAACCTTGCCTTTTGCCGAGGGAATTCGCAGAAGTTGATGTCTCAATTTCAGGAGGACAACGTAACTCCTTCAAAGAGCCGGAGGTAGGCTTAGGAGAAGCTTGAGGGGGAGCTCGTTGTTTGCCGAGGGAATTCGCCGAACGCTTGGGCGGGAGGATCACTTGCACCAAAGAGTCAGGATCGTTTTCAAATGTGCCATTCCTGATCCCTAAAAAGAAAAGAAGCCAGGGTAAGCCAACGCAGCCTGGTTGCAGCGATGTTAGGTATGACTCACGGTCTAGCTCCTCTTGTACTCGGTTGGCAGCCTCCTGGAATATATCGTATACTGATAACGAAATGTTTTCATGTTCAATTTGTTGAGTAAGCCACGCGAGTTTCTCTTCTAGTATAGCCTCATATTGCTCCACCGTGACCCACGCAACCTCCCCTTTCCGAGTCTCTGCTTGGCTATTCCGAAGCGCAGGGGTTTGATGACAAGAGGTTTGATCTACGGTGAGAGGTATGTCAGCGTGAGATCAGTGCTCCGGATCAAAGATTGAAATGGAATGGAAGACTTACTAGATTGATTGAGAGGAGTGGTTGTGGGTGAAGGAGCCTGGGGAGCGGCGTCAGATTCGGACTCTTCCTCGGTTGAGTCTGCCTGGGATGGTTCGGACATGACCAAGGAATCTAGACAGGATATCTGAAAGTAAAGAATGATCAGCAAATGTTGGTATTCAAGTCTGAGGTCGAAAGCATGGCGAAGGTAAAATACTTACAGTTGTGAAATGCAACAAGAAATCTGTGTGGTGCTATGTATGTAGTGCACAATTTGATCAAGATTTATCGTGATCAACGTGAAGGGTATGGTGATTGGATTGATCTGGTATTGTGAAGAAAGTGAACTAGACGTATGGTGATTGATGAAAGCAGGTATGGTGAAGGTGATTGATGGAAGGCCAGATTCTAGACGTATGTGATTGATGAAACCCGAGATTCCGAAATGGAAGTAATTGCTAGGTAAGTAGATATGGTGAAGAAATTAATCGAGATCCATGTGATTGACGTGATTGGGTTGAATGTGACTGAAAGGAATCTTGAACAAAACTGATCGACGTAGTTGAGTTGAATGAATGTGAATGGAAGGTATCTCGAAGAATACTGATTGACGTAGTTGAGTTGAAAGGCGTGAGAATGGAATGAAGGAGATAAAAGAGGAAGAGATTGGCAACAATCGACGTGGTTGAGTTCAGGAGTGTGGGAGTGAAACTTGTTTCACATGTCATGAATTTATATGGATTGATTTGGGGCCTTGGGTTTCTTGCGGCCCCGGGCACTCGAGGCCAGCAGGTGGCCTCTTGCATAGCTTCAACACATGATTGGTTACAGCTGTATACATAACCTCCATCACGTGATATGTAACACATGTGTATAAGTGCCTATATACACCTGTGTAGTATGTGTGTGTAACGTGACCCCGGGGCCAAGAATCACGAATTCGAGGCCAGCAGGAGGCCTCCTGCATACCTTCATCACATACACACATGTGTATGTAACAAGAGCCCGGGGCCAAGAATTGCCAATACGAGGCCAGCAGGAGGGCTCTTGCATACCTTCATCACCTGTTCTGCTACACATGTGTATGTAAGATGACCCCGGGGCCAAGAATTGCGAATTCAAGGCCAGCAGGAGGCCTTGTTGGAGTGTATGTTGTTATGTGCTCACGTAACTGTACCAGTACAACTTTATATAGGGGTTTTATTCCGCTATGTTGATACTAGGAGCCATACCTGCCTCCCCACATGATTGGCATACAGCGTCTGTAGCTCACACCCCGGGCAAACAGGTGACGCTACATATGTAGCGTCGCGCGGACGCTTCGGGGCCGAGTCTGTGGCGTCACCTGCTGCAGCCAGCGGCGTCACCTCGAATTTTGTAGCGTCACCTACCCAAACTCAGCGTCACCTACTCAACTGTCGCCTCTTCCCATTGATCCTTTCCCAACATCAACCTCCAATCCACAATGGCACATTCAAAGAGTAACTCCAGCAAACTGGACAATCACCATCCTTCCAAGGAATGTATGGAATTGCCACCAGGTGACTGATAGTGATACCACTTGATCATACCTTAACTTCTTTGACTTTTATTGATAGACAACACTGTCTTTCGCGTTATTTAGGTCACGTAATCTGGTAGATAGCCGGAAAACAAAAGACAACTCCAGGTTTCAGATTTTCA